AAAAAGTAGTCTTGTATTGTCTTTAAAGGCTAAATGCTCTGAGATTGGAAGAGAAGGAAAAGAAAGAGAAAGAAATGGTTCAACAAATTATAGAAACTGCAGAGCAATTCAAGGCCGATTTCTATAGCAAGCGTAGCAATACTATCGAAAGCAACAAGAAATCAAACCGCGAGAAAGAGAAGGTGATTTTGTCTCTGTTTTATATCATTTAAGATTTGTGAATACTCAAGCTTTTTCATTTTGTGATGAAATTTTCTATTCTATATTGCTAGTTGTTTTTGGAGAACCAAGAGAAGTTTTATGCTGAAGCTGATAAAAACAATTGGAAGGCGATTGCGGAACTCATTCCTCGTGAAGTACCAGTTATAGAGAAGAAAGGGAAGAAGAAGAAGGAAGCTTCCATAAATGTGATACAAGGACCAAAACCTGGGAAGCCTACTGATCTGTCTCGTATGCGTCAAGTGCTCACTAGACTCAAGCACAATCCACCTTCTCTTATGAATCGCAAATCGCCATCGCCATCTGAAGCTAACCCGTGAGTGATCGGTTTACGGGTTCAAAAGAAGTAGTTTTGTGTTGTGACAAAGTTAACTCCTCCTTTATTTGTGTAAAGCGTCGTCTTGTGATTTATTAGCTTCCTTCCTCATGTGTATATTCTTGAATTTGCTTCTTTTGGTTACGTTTCTCTGGTCTTACTATTGTTGGCTTCACACAGTTTTCAACTTTGATGATGTTTATATTCAATAAGACAGACCAATTCTGTGTACATCATGTTCCTGCTACTACAGTATCGGTTTGTGGAACGATCGGTTTGGTTTGATTTCATAGAAATTTCAAATCAAATAGCAACCTAATCTCTGAAGTTTTATAAAAAAAATTAAACTACCATATCTTGTTAATCTTGTTACAAATTATTTGTCTCTAGCCTGCAAATCGAAAGGAGCAATTGTCTAAAGTATCACATTTTTAAAATAACTAAAAACGAATATAGCTAGTTTAAATTTTCAAAAATATCATAAATTCAAAATCAAAATAGCGCAAAAATCATTTCTAATAAGAGGATAAAAATCTAAATTAT